TCAAATATGCGCCGAAAAATCTTAAATATGCATAAAAATATAATATAGGTACATGGAAAATAAAAAATGTGTTTATTGAACATTTAATTAAAACAATATATTTAAAATTATGGAACCCTGCTATAAATAATTTTCTTCATTTTTTTTTCTTTACTTTCATAATTTTGTTGATAGTTTTAATTTATAAGAAAAAAATAGGAATTAATTAATACAAAAAAATATTTTGGAAAACCATTTATACCTATACAAATATAACTATTAGTTTATTTTTACACGTCTAATCGAAACTATACGAATATTATATTATTCTTATAGTATATTTTTCTAAAATGTTCATAAAAAACAAAAAAAAACATCAACATAATATGCACTAAAAGATAAAATATACTATTTGAAATTGTAAAGTTAGCCCTTGAAAGTAGATAAAAGTCAAAATATGCAAAAAAAAAGGCACTAAAAAAGTTTCATTTTTTAAATTGATATGTCATGAAACAAATTTTGAGCTCACTTAGTATATCATACGATCGACCAGAATAAATATGCAAATCTGCGCTCTATAGTTATATATTTACCTTCTTAAATTATATAGCACTTGACTCAGGCAAGTATAACGTTGTATAATATACCAATCTAATATTTTATAATACAATTATCGTAGGTATTTAAATACGTTGTATACAACTGAAAATTTCCTGCATTGTTTTAAATTGTACGACTTGGCCTGTAAAATTTTTAAAAAAACGTCCAAGTAAAATTTTCGGTCGAAAAATTGTATCTATCCCTTTTCGGTCAGTGTTCCTTGTTCCTGGATTTCTAGCAATTCTTCCGCAAAAGTCGTTTTAAACCAATATAGGTACACTACAACTTTATTCTCCTATGTAAAAATGAAAAATATAATATCATTAACTATTAGGTACAGTTAATTAATATAACGCCCTTGGTATTTTCTACACGTCTTACAACATTGCGAATTAGTGTTGTTACATATTTTAATATTAGAGTCAATGACCTGTTATCTATCGTCAAGGTAAAAATATTATATTATAAAACACTATCTCTTAGGAATTTATTCATACTTAAATTTTAACGCAAATTATTTGCATTCGAAATCGTTATAATTCACATAGGTAGTTTAATAAATTAATAAAGATATATTAAAACATGTATATATTGGTACATATATTTTTTAAGTATCAATATTATGTGTGTGTACCTATAAGCAGGACGTGTTCAAACACTTCGAGTCGTATAATTATTTTAATGAGTTTGTTCGCAAATCAATATCATGTGAATAAATAATGATATTTTTAGATTTTGAATGTACCTATTAATTTTACAATGATGTGTGTATTTTCTGACCGTCATCAAATTTTGTTGCAGTATAAAAAATGATTCGATTTTCTACATCAGCATCTTTTCTGATAGAAAAGCCAATCTAGCTGGTGCATTTGAGAGGTAAAAATGGAAATTTGTTTTCGAATCTTTAACAAAAATAAAAGTTTGCCGGAAAGTAACGCTATTGATGAATTTGATTTTAATTGTTAAATTTGATAATTATGCTAGGTTAACGCCACCGCCTCCGATAAGAATCGTTCGGAGATTACATACAATGATTCATCATTGAATTAAAATTTATCACATTCATTACACACTCGATATAGGTACTCGAAAACAACCGAACAGCAGGTCTACATTTTTAATATTAAACTTACCTATTTGAATTGGCTACCAACAAAAAGTAACACAAGAATTATTTTTATAATTTAATACCTATAATCATATTTATTTTAATTGTTTGCTTATCTCATATAATAATATGTACCTGTTCGATTGCTCTGTGATAATTATCACATAAGAGATAAAAAAAAATGATATGACCTAATAATTTAATGGTTCCCTTCATAACATCATAATGGAATTATGATTAGTATTATAAGTATTCACTCTTATAAGAGTTAAGTCCTATGATTTGAAATGTAATAGTCTTATATGAACTACCTATATACAATTATTACAAACTTTTATATCTTTTATAAGAGATCGTTACTCGCTGTTATCGGTTTTAAAAGGTTGGTGTTTGCATTCATATTCTATATATATATATATACATTGTTGTACACTCGTGCTAAATATTTTTCAATTGAGTAGTTATGGATTCTGATCGGAGCGTCGAATATATTGATTTTACAATGTATTTTTTTTAAATTCTGAGTGGAGAGAAGAAGCCAGTGATGGTTTTATTATAATTTCTACTTTTTTATCTTGTGAACAAAATTTCTACCAGCAGGAGTGATTTGATCTCAAGATATAGTATCTTATATTTTAGAAAATTGGATCAAGATGGCTGCACTTTAGAGAGGTCATTTTTCGATTTTCTCAATAGTTTTTTATTTCCACGGGAAAAACCTCCAAAATTTATTTTGCTAACCTTTTTTTTTTTTTCTAATGCTTTGTCTATCGCCATAGATATAAAATTATAATAATAAAATAACTTACCTAATTCCCACTCTGCAGTATATTATTTATACGATTAATGGTTACTTGTTATTACATATTATTTATGATTTATAAAATGTCTATCGTCTGTTCAGATCGTTTTTTACCAAACACTGTAATAATACACTATCCTGTATAATGTATTCCTGTCCGAGGCTCATGGATGAATGTCAAATTTCCACCACCGCCGCCCTACTTCACAACTACTGCACTTAACAGTTTTTTTTGTGTATGTATTGTATGTAGTTGGTAGTTGAAATAATGATTTGATTTTCAAACAATAGGGTGGTTTCTGATGGAAAAATTTAATTAATTGGTTTAGGTGTTACGAAAATGTAAAAATTCAAAATTTAAAAGCGTCATAGAAAACAAAAAAGAAAATTAACTAAAAACGAGAATTTGTAAGCAAAATGGCAAAACCAGTTTTTTTATGTAACTGAAAAACAAAAAACCATTACCTATATAAATACTTGACATTTTCAGCAAATATTTATTTTATAATTTTATAATCATATAATATTTTCAAAATATTTTTGATTTTTTAAATTTTTTTTTAAAAAATAAGAATTCAATTTTTTGGTTGAAAAAAAGGCTTAAAAATTTTAGACGTTCTCCGTAAGTTTTAACAATAGCAGTTTAAAAATATTGAAGATTTATTTCATGTTTTATTGTTTTTAAGTGTTTAAAGTTCAAATTTTGAAAAATGCATCATAATCTCGACATTTTAAAAATTGCTCTGTAGTTAAAACTGTGTAAAGTGTTTTCTAGTTAAGGATTGAAAATTTAAGTCAAGGATTTTCATGTGGAATTCATAATATAACCAAAAATGTAAAAATTATAAGACAGTCTTTTATTATAGATATTTTAAATTTGGACGAAATTAATATTTAAAAGGAGAAGAAAAATTTTGGTTTTTTGTGTAATCAAAAAGGATTATTATGATATAGGCTAACACTCGGAATTGTTTTTCGTGTACAATCATTTCCCTTTGAATTAAAAATTATCACATCCATTACAGTGATTATACCTACACAACACCTACCTAATACCTATAGGCTATAGTACAGCCAAGTGTGGTATCCACTTGTCCACATTTTTTTTTTTTTTTTTATCAAATTTTGGTCTGTAACTGGTGGATGATTAAATACCTATCAACAATATTGGTTTTTGTAAGACCATTTATGTATTTGTGTAAGTATAAGAGGTACAGGTTTGTTCTTAGTACATTATATTTAGATAAATAATATTATTTTTGTAAGTAGGTACCTATTTATAAACATTTATACGTATTTTTTTTTTAAATTAGCATAATGCATTAATGTAACACATTAACACTCTATACAGCTTCAATATCAAAATTGTAAAATGTAAATTATAATATTAAATGTGGCCCGCAGCTTGTGAAAATTTTCATTAAGGTGTAACGGTGTTTTACAATAATTGTACCAAGTTTTTCGAAAATGTCATTATATTTCAATATAATATTATACCAATCCGCCGACACAGGTCGCTAAGAAGTATATTAATAAAATTAAAAATGCATCTCGTATCACCTTAATGTGAAAACATACATCTTATTCACGAAAAACTTATCTATAGGTACGATATAGGTACAATTTAAAGTTCGTCGATTCGTTTTGTCATACTTACCTATAGGAAGTACCCTCTGTCCTTGGGTACCTACCTTTATGTGTTCGAAATACTGTGCCAAATCTTGTGTAAGATGTACATATTAGTATCGATAGTTTTTACAGAAACATAGTTTATACATTTTAACATTTAAGTTTTCACAATTGTATATCGACATTGCTTTCAAAGTAGTTTGGGTTATTTCAACTTTTGAATTACAACATATACTATGATAAATATATGGAATATTTTTAAAATATTTCGTTGCTCAAAAATCGAATTTTCAACTCATATATTATTCATATATAATTATCATAAGTATTCAAACTTCGACAAGCTGTACCCGTATATGCAGTGGAGGCTCCAGTTGTGGGCCAGGATGGGCCCGAGCCCCCCTTAAAAAGTCTCGGGGCCTCCCGGTGGCCCACCCCAAAAATTAAATTTAATCATATTAGAATGTTGTTTTTAATAATTTTGTTGAAAAATTCATGAACCATGGCCTTAGATTATTAACCAACCACGATAAAGAAAATACAGCAAGGGAAAACATTCTATTTTTAGATACTTTTGGAATATTGCATTGTCTTGTAAGTTGTAAGAATCAACTAACAGTTTTATCGACGGCGATGCGCGACGTACTGTTATCTACAATCTACTGTATATTTTTAATTTTGTATATCGTATGTAGTTTTTTTTTTTGGCCCTAAAAAATTTGGGCACCTCAGCCTGGCCCACCTGGTACTAAAAATTCTGGCACCGCCACTGCGTATATGTCACACTACTCTGCTCGTCTCAACATTAAATAATTATAATACTTAACAAATCAAATATGACATTTTTGTAAAAGATGTCCAATAATGTTTAAAAATAGAATATCACATTTTTTTATCAGTATTATTATTGGCAATTTTGAGATCCGTGTTCGTCGACTCTGCATTTTCTTTTAAAGTAATAGATTCCTTTGTCAATCCAAAACAATTGGTTACTATGCTTAGAAAGCACGCGAAGACAGCTATGTAGGAGAAAAATCGGAACGACCACACTCCACCATATGTATCGAATAAATATCCGCCCACTAGACTGGCTATAGAATCACCTGCCAAACAAAAATAATTAAATACATTTCAATCTGCATATTATAATAATATTATTTCGTGGCAACCGTCAAGCCGGAAGTACTGACATTTCACATAAAATATATCACTACCGAAATGGTAACCAAAAATTAATACAGTGAAACCTCTTCTAACGGACGCCTCTAAATTACGAACACCTTCAAATAGTGGACATTTTCTTAGAAATCAATTACAAACTTTCTACTGCAAACTTAACCCTCCGAACGCCGGTCAAAATTTCAGCAAACTATAGGGCCCGATATTTAGAGGTTTCAATATTTCGATTTTAATTATGATAATATTCATTATGGTAAAAAATAATCGATGGCTAAAATATATCGCATTCGATTACAGATATTAGATACTTATATCAACGTATCGACGATACTATTAATCTTAAAGTCCATTTGAAGTATATTATAGTATTTATAGAATATCAAATGAAAAAACAATCTCTAATTTCTACTGCCAGACAACCAAAAAAAATATATTAATTAGGTACCAGTGTTTATCGCAGTTTTTTCAAAGTCAGACATTGTGGACTATGGTTCCAAAACTGCAGTTACACTGTGTGCGATTGACCTGAGTTGTGGCCAATTATTATATCTCAATGCAGGCAACATATATTTTTATATACAAAACTTCTTTTTAATTGCGATGACGAATGTAAACATCAGGTTTAACCATAGACCTAAAAAGATATGGACTGATCGTAGAAAGAGAGGTTCGATGACCTAGATTGTTAGAATGAGATAAAGGAACATTCGGGATTCCTATTGATAAAAAAAAAAACAGTTATTCACCATGGAAATGTTAATATCACTCCGATGTTCGTCAACAGCACCTTTTCTGATAGGAAAAGTTAGAGCTAACGATAAGGCCTAGAGGTTAAAAAAAACAAAATCCCCAATAGTTTTTAAAGCGTCGAGAAAAAAAATGGCATAAATTCACTTTCTATAGTACCTACCCAGCATTTATTTTGATTTTTTTTCCCGAAACATCCGTATTTCAACGAGTTAAAAACGACGGGGCAAAAACAACACTGTATCTTATTGCCAAGCTCAGCGCCTAAAATGAATATTGCATTTTTTTAAACGTATTTTACCGAGTTAAGAATGACGCTATATATTTCTATTTTATCGGACACCCTTTTTTTTTCAATTTGTTTGTTTAACTTCAGGACTTCGTTCTGAAGTTTTAGCTATTGGGAGTCCGAGACCCGTCCAAGGTTGTTATTCACATAACAATCCGAGGGATGTTATCGATTTTAATTGTCCCATCTGGTGTATGTTTAAATACTGTAAATTTCAATTAGCTATGATAACTTTAAAACTAAGCCTGAACTCCAAATTCTGACTTTACATCGTTTCCACGTGCTTAACTATACATAGGTACGTTAAAACGAGATGTATAGTACTGATTACGATTTGTACATAAATAAATGATAATATTTTGATTATTATTTTTTTAATAACAATATCCTATTTTAATGTGTTGTAGAAATAAGATTACTGTGAAAATTGTGATTTCACTATCATTTTTAACTCGTTAAAAAACGTAAAAAAAATTGAAAATTCGTTATAGGCTCTGCTCACGGCAGTAAATTACATCGCGTTGTGCGCATGCGTATAAACCCAAGAACCCGCAAACTTTGGAACTTCCAAAATAATGATTTCCAAAAAATTTTTTTGCACCATCGTTCTTAACTCGTTGAAATTTAATAAATGTTTTAAAATAAATGCAAAAGTGAATTTGTTCCAAAAAAAATATGACTGAAAAATGGGAATTTTAGAAAAAATCAATTTTAATTATTTGGCTCAACTCAAAAACTCATAACACTTGAGATTTTCACCAAATATTTATGTTACGATTTTCTATAAACGGTGAAAAATAGTCAAAATGTTTCGACTCTTTTTGAGCTGTTCGTATACGGCTGTGGAAATTATTATACTGTCGATAAGTAATAATTTTTTGCTTACTAATGAAATTATAGTAGCATATAATAAAATTGCACTCTGCGTTCGACCGTTATAAAAATTATAAGATAATATATCTCGTATCGTTAATAAAACGTAACGTACCAACGCAGTCGAAAAATCCCATAAACCCAATTATGGTGTTTAGCGTGTCGGGAGGCGCCACCTTTTTAGCGTATGACATTTTCACCGAATATCCCAACGCGTACGACACGCCGTTCAGCAACTCTATCGCAATGACCCACGTTGGATTCCATATGACAGTGTAGAGATACATCCTGATGGCCATGGATCCCATCACTAAGGCCATGCAATTGCCGTAACCGATCTTTCTGATTATCCAACCGGACCAGAAGAAAAATGGTATCTCACCGCCGAAACACTGGATGCCCTGGGCTAGACCTTGGAGCGTTTTCAGCCACGCCCGTTGACTGTGGTCGTTGTTAGCAGAGACCATATCTTCCATGTACCTTTGTATTGAAATCGATGTATGATTAATTAATTCTTATATTATATATACATATTACATATATTTCAAGTACGTAGTTGAGACGATATTTTGAGAGACTTCCAAACAATATCACGCACGACTATAGTGATGTAAATTTTCATGAAAATTTTTATAATTTATCATATTGATTTCTTAACAAATTAATCTTTTGATATTATATTATAGCTCTAGTATATTAAACCTTTATAATTACCTATATTTAAAACTATGTACTTTTATTACCATTTACCTATTTTAATATTATTTTGGTATTATTCTATTGAACACAATATAGTAAATACAAAATACTAATCATTAAATATATATTATACGAATAATTTACGACGTTCACAAATTAATAGACTGCATTTTTCGGCAAATGATTTATAAGAAGTATCAGAATACCATTTAATAGTGAAAACTTTAAGAACAGCTACTCTCTGGTGGCAAATCAAACAAACACTGATGTACTTATAGTTATAGGTTTTTACATTTTCTTCATTAGCTGCGGGCCGGATTAAATTTGTTCGAGGGCCGTATCCGTATGTCCAATATGTCAATCAATCGGAAAGTCAGTATCACTAATTCGAAATTGAATGCATATATTTTAGTGCAGTTTTTATCAATATGATAGATATATTATGACTAAGGGAAGCTCCGTCTTATTATAGTCTAAGAAAATTAATTTCAAAAAAACATTTAAAATCATTTAAAAAAAACTATTATAGAAATCTAAAAAAGTCATTTTGTAGAGCTATTTATTTATAAATGTCAAACAATCATAAAATCGGTTGTATTGTGATTGAATGAATGCAAATTAAGTTTTTTCAAAATAACATTATAATATTTTAAAATTGTATGGTTTTCCCATTTTTATAACTACCTAATGTTAACACACACGTGTTCCACAGGCCAATAACCACAGTAGTAGAAGTCTCAACCCCCCAAAATTGGAAATTACAATCGAACTTCGGGGAAGTATGATTAATTTACTACCGTTTTTAGTAGTATATGTCACATGAATTGCCTAAATAGTACTCCTTAAAATATGCTATGTTGCAGCCCCTTAATATGTATATTTTAAATTATACATTTTTTTGGGATCTATTTGTCAGCACACCGTTCTCGAAATGATTTTCAATGTGTTGAAAATTTGAAAAATGTTGAAAATTTGAAAGTGTGAAATTTTAAGTAGATATTCTATGAAATATACTTTACGTAACAATATTAGGTACTATTTTATGATTTTTTAACCCTTTCAGACTCAAATAATGATCTGCTCCCGCATCCTATTTCGTTCACTGCACCAGTGAACTGTTCAAAGTTAAGTTAATTTTTAACTATTTAACTTAACTTTTAAAATTTAACCTAATTTTTAAGTCAACTGAGTTTTATTGATATAAACTTAATAAACAACGAGTTACTTTTAATAAAATCCAAGTTACCATGATTTGTAATTAATTTAAGAATAAATATAATACAATTATTATTGATGATACATGTTGCATAAACATTTACTTTTTATTATTTTAAACCATACATCTAGGTATTTATAAATTAAAAAATAATTAAATAAAGAACCAAACTTAAGTTAATAAGTTCATAACTTTTAACTTAACTGAGTTCAAAAAAAAATTAGGATGACTATTAATTATAAGCTTTTGAAAATATTTTCAATCAGCATAACTTGACGCAATTAAAAATTATAATTAAGGTGCCCTGCCTATATAATATTTATTTTGCTCTTTTTCGTGATGATTATTCGCGGTATAGTGTCCTCCCTCAGCAATAAATTTTCACTTTAAATAACCTACAAAATACAATATCTGTATTATATTTCGAATTAGATGAGCTACTGACTTTCCGATTAATTAACATACTAGGTATACTGTACATAATAAATAATGGCAAGCACAACAACGGTTGTTTACAAGCTCGAGTTAAATATTGCAGTAGTGATGGTAATATTTATTAAAAATGAAATACCAGAACAGAAAGTTAGTGACGATTGTATGGAGAAGTGTGTTGAATATTGACCATATGCAAAATGTGATCATGTAATATTTAGTGAACAGCCCACCCATGTTTTTCCATCGATCTTCGGATTTGCTCGTTTCAACAACCTATGAATGACAGGAATTTAGCTTTAGGTGCACACCTCAATATTATTGTTATTAGATTTTTTTTTTTTTTTTAGTGAAAATAGGAGCAACGACTTACTTTGATTGTTTTAACTACTCCTAAATTCAAAGCCATCATTAAAGCACTACAGTAAAATACGGGAGAATAATCTTTATCCTTTTTATTGAAACTAAATACATCCACGAGCCACCCAATGAATATAGAAAAAATACCCCAACCGATCGAGCTCCAACATTTTTGTCTTCCGAAATCCTCTGCAGATTTGTCTCCTGAAAACATGATAATATTCATAATTCATTTTCAATTTAAGTAAATCATATTACCGTTATTGACTATAGTATTATAATGTTACCCAAATTGTCGAGACAAATAGGATTTATAAATGCAATCGAAATCAAATAACAAGACCAATGCGTAGCCAAGAGCCCGAAAAAAATCCAAAACTGATACAAGTTAAGAACGTTTCCTCTGTACGTTGTGACGGTAGCCGCTTCCATTATTTTATCGTTTGAACAGCTTGCGATATGACAAAATGTTTTCAAATGACATTGACAGATCGGTGTACGTATTTGAGTGCCATTTATTTGAACAGATAACACTTGAAAGACGTACGAATTTGCATTCTATGGCAAAATGCATAATATTCAAGTTACTGTAATGTGAGTATAAAATATGATTAACTGCTACCACCTCTTCCGTCTGTTCTAAGTCTTTTGGTATTAGTGCCAAGTCAATCTGGTTGAATTTATTTTGACTTTCGTTGGCTGTCCTCATCCACACATAGCTCAAGTCAGATTGGGTTTGTAGATTATTTATTTCAAAGCCTGCACTGCACAACTCTGCATATTGACAATTTAACTAAAAAAAAACCAATCACATGAAATAATTATTATAATAATAATAAAAGTTTATTGTCAACATAATATTTTAAAAAAATATAACAAAGACAAATAAAACAAATCAATTAATGACGCCGCCCCAAAAGCTTAGCTTGTGGTGAGTGCAGGAAGTTCAATACAACACAAATATATTACATAAATTGTTTAAATATAAATATTATAATATTATATTATTATTGAAGGGCGTCGTTCATAACCACACACTTTCAAAAAAAAAGGTCGTCGTTCAAAACCACACGAAAATCATGAAAATGTGCAAATTATTTTGAGTTAGAAATTCCTAAATATTTGTATTGATTTTAAAATGTAATATGTTATTTAGGTATTACACATTTATAGAATAAACATATTTCATATTATAATTTATAATTTTCAATAAAAAACAATAAAATGTTTTATATTTAAGTCTTTTATTATTTATCTACAATACGCTTTGCTATAATTTATTTTAAATAAAATTGAAATTGTGTTGTATAATAGGTGTATACCCAATAGTTGATGTATAAATAGTAGTATGATGTATATAATAGTATTGTTTTCAATTTCATATTATTAAAAGAGCTGTCCAATGTGTATACATTCTTGATTTTTAATTTTTTGAGAGTTATTAACAGCTATATTATGAAGGAAATATGAAGGATATTATCGGAAATAATCGGCCAATGGAGGGGAAATAACTGGACCGCAAAAATATTATTTTCAAATTTTAAATTCTGGATTTCCGCACATAATAGACGTTTAATCTATTTGTATTATGTACTTGGCTAAACATACTTATACGTAATATGTGAAATTTTGTTCATAAAAATTACGTTTTGAAATTCTAAATATTCCGTTCAAGATTAAGAGATCTACAAGTTGAAAACACTCTGAGCAAATTTTAAAAACTGACAAAAAAAATATTATATTAAATAGTTTGCTTTAAACAGCTTAAACCGTAGTTTTAACACTAAAATAAATACATCATAATATATTAAGTTATTTCTGGCCCTTGAAATTTTTATTTCAAATCATCCAATGAACTTACAGTTGCCAACCCCTGATGTATTATATAGGATTAAACCAAATGGAACGTACTTCAGAGTTTAGGAAGTATAGTCGAAATAGAACATTTTCAGAACCGGAAAGCATTTTTTTTCAAGTACACACAATTTTAGTGATCCATTTTTAAAATTTTAACCCTTTTTTACACTCAAGTTGTATTATTCTTATGGAGAACCCCTCATAATTTTTAATAGTCGTAAAATTTTAAGCAAATTTTCTCCTTTGGTACTTAGTTCTTATCTATACGTGTGTGTGTATATGTTTCCGTGATGTATAACTTTAAAGGTCTGTAGTGAATGAACTATTAAAAATAAAGGTCTGAAACTTATTCCCGCACTTCATCTAGGCTCCAAAATGATTCTTAAAAGACCATAAACCACAAAATCGATTTTCCAGTTTCAGAGATTTGCGTTGCTAAAGAAAAATTGTGTAACTAAAATTGATTACTTTTTAACGGTTAAAAAGTTGGTGAATTTTTTAATATACTATTGAAAAGCCCCTTTTAAAGAGCTGCCGACCAACTTTCCAGCTCTCAAAGATTGGAAAATTTTAAAAAAGAGGTTTCAAAAATAGAGGCCGAATAACAATTTGTAATGATAATAATTTTTTATATTATCAAATAAATATATATTTAGTTGACCTGGTCAACTCAGTTTTGCTGAGTGTCTAAGAAAATTAATAAATCTAATTATTGTAAAAATATGTATCAACCCACTAATACTTAGTACTATATAGTGGCGCAAGACAACTCTCAATATTTTCCAAATGAAAGCATAATATACATAAATTAAATCGCAACACCCGTAGATAATGTCACTCTTTATACCTACACAAGTTTTTACTGCCAAATTGGACTTGAATAATAGGACATTTTTAATGTTTATAGTTACATACCTATTGAAAATTGTTCTCACCTTGCACGTCATCAGCTCAGCGCCGCTGGTGTGGTTCGCAACTGCAGTATAATACGTGAAGTTGCTCGTAGTTTGCAAATTATTGTTCTCGTTTACAACGGTCATTGTCGTTGTTTGTGCGTCGCATTTTAATTCGATTTTGGCCAATTCCAAAGGTACTTTCGGTACGAATAAGAACAATATCGAAACCACTCCTATGCCGAATATGGACACTAAGAATAACTTTTTTTTTATCCGAAATTTGTCGACTATGACACCTGACAGAGGCACGACTACCATCGAGATCATCGACATAAACGTCATGGCTGCGCCGTAAGTCGTCATCGAGTATCCCAATTGTCTCGCTATTGTGGGCAAAAATCCAGCTATAGGTGCTAAACCTATGGGCAAAGAGAAAACGTTTACGTACACGAAAATCCGTCATAAGATATCATAACATAATATTATGGACTAATTTATACAAAACCACGACTAGACAATTTTTTTTACGACACGTGATCAATATAGTATCTCAAATTTAAATATTGTGGACAAAATTAATTTCACCGAAGCCCAGGCCCCCCTACATCAAATTTTGGGCCCCTGTACTAAATGTTTTTGAGGGCAATATAATATATTATTTAATATAAATTAAGTATTCCCATCAAAATTTACAAATTCATTTCAACGGGCCCTTAAAATAGCCGAACCCCTGTACTTCGGTCCAACTGACATTCCCTTGAATGGGGGGGGGGGGGCTGCCGAAGCCTATAATCTCCATAAGTATCCATGAAATTAATAGTTCGTATAAATTTCAAGTATTATCTTATTGAACGTTATAATAATATCAAGAACATTAATAATAATTGTTGCTGTAACATTTTTTAACGAGCCGAATTAACGATTTAATTCGTTATATAAATGTTTAATATTTATAATCAGGGAGTAGTACATATTATGATACAAATCAAATGATAACCCGCAAAGCAAAATCTTAAACACAAATTGTTTCGCTAATAGTACCTGCCTAACGCGAATTCGATTAATTATACTATTTCAGTGTACCATACAAATCGCGATTATATATAATTTAATATATATAATATTATTATGATATAATGGCACTTACATGCAAATATGAGGAAGTAGCACATTTTCAGCGGTAGCAATTGTGTATTCACTTTTATTCCAAACATGTTGTTGGTTTTATTTGATTAAGGTGCAAAACAAATTGTTTGGAGATTTTAGAGAATAAAAAAAATCTATAAAAAATGTCGGTACTTATATTATATTGTTTCGCTTTTAATTTAATTATAAACGTGAAATGCGACGGTCGTGATAAATTAAGTTAACAATAACTATATGGAATATCTTCATTCGGTCAATTCTGAAAGTCTTCTTACAGGATGTGCTGCAGTGGAATAATTTTTCTCGGACTATTAATATCGCAATAATCCCGGTGGCCTTGAGAAATCGTAGGTACAATATGTCGTATTGCTGTAGGTAGTTGAAGTACAACGATGATAAATAAATCACTCTAGCATAGAATATTACAGTATATAGTCTATATAGTTAACATATGCAATTATAAATTGTGATTTAAAATATGAGCTCGACAAATTGATATATAACTCATACCTGGTATAAACGTGTTGCAGGTTACCTATCTGCACCGTTATAAACGCTCCGACATGGGTGGTACCCGCGTAATGCGTTAAGTAGACTTACACATTTTGTACGAATGTCTCGAAATGTTGTATTCGATTACTACCTAGGTACCTACTGGCTAGAATCCGAAACAATATTATACTGCTAGCGATCGTTTGAATTTGAAGAGGTGGTAAAAATTATTATCATGCGTACCTACTAGATAACTCCTTAGCATTGCCTAATTTATTTCGATGCAGTAGCTTATTTTATCACAGAGGTCCAAGTATCACGCGGATATAATCTGAAAAGATTATTTTAGCGTTTTATTTTTTTCGAACACTTTCAATTAGATATTATTAATTATTAACGACTCCTCGGGGCACAGGTCACGGCATGATGGTCGGTACATAGTCTACTACTCCGTCGAGTTTGTGATTTTTATTGGTTTCAAAACCTAAAATAACACTACAGTGCGATACCAAATCTGTTTGCAGAATCTCAATTCAGAAGAAATTGAACGAACATTTTTCCGGCCAAACTTTAGCGTTTATCAATCTTTGGTACCAGTGTACCACTAATGGTACGCGGTTAGCTCATGTAGGCGGTAAGCTATACAAATATTTAGCTGCCAAAGTAGTAAAAAATAAAACAAAACATGCATTTGTTATGTAAACCAACTAATTAGTGTAATAACGAGATAAAACAGTCCTATAATAGCGCACGTGTATTCTATTAATTTTTAATTGTATATTTGAGTAATCGTTTATTTATTTTTACATTATATAATTATATAATAATATAATATACATTATATCCTACGAGCATGATATAAGTGTTATTATATATTATAGTTCTATAGGCGATAACAATATATTTTTATACGAATTTAAACAGACCGTCATGGTCAACACAATAAAAAAAAAAAAAACAATTTGACTCAATCACAATATGCAATACGCTTACCTCTACCGATATTATTATGGCTTTGCACGTGATCATAGGTGTGGCTCACGGAGTGAGTAGCTCCAAATATATTATAATGATCGACAATTTTATTATATCAAAAGACGATGGTGTCGAATTATCCGAAGATTATAATTATTCTGAAAGGCACACAAGTTTAGACTCGGCACTTCTTATAACCGGCGATTCCAAACGAGACCATGGCTTTGCACGTTTCCGACTCCATCCCAACAGCGAAAAACTAGGAATTATTAAAGTTTTCTTGTGATAACTTAAGCGAGCATTTGCGTTTTATGACATTAGTTAAGGTTAGATTAGACGCAGGTGAACCAAAGTCGAAATGGGATAGTTTAAAGTTTCAGCGACCTATCCCAATGACGAATTCCGTTTTTCGAAATTTATCCAACGCCCATGTTTAGCACCTCATTATTGGCATGTAAAGTTGCCCGTCGGCTCGTGAAAACAATTTTTCTAATCTGCACGGACAAGCAAAATATTTGGATTTCCAACAATTTTTCTGCGTCATTATTTTTAGCACGTATTGTCGTAATGTAGTAGGTACCTATGCCTGCAAATTGTGATAAGTGTCGTGCGAATTCTTGCCGATTACCTACGGTTAAATAACTGCATGAAAAATAACACATTTTTCGTCGTAGTGAGGTCGGAGTCATCAGCCTGTATAGATACGATGATAATAGGTACTCACTTTCTGCTAAGCCAACGAGTTATAAAGTTAAAGATACGCTAAAAGTTTAGTTTAGTTTTAACTCTTAAAGATGATGAGTGGAACGATGAATGAATTGATCCTTTAATAATATTAATAATAATAATAATAATAATTTATTTACGGAAATGATGATGTGTGTTTTATTTTTTTTTTCATTTTAGATTCTGAGTGAAACGATGAATAAATTGATTTACTATGATGTGTGTTTTATTTTTTTTTTTTTTTTTGTGTCTGTCATCACGTTTTAGGACAGTAAAAAAGCTTGGATTTTCTTCAACAGTAACTTTTCTGATAGGAAAGTGTATCTAGTTGGTACTTTAGGGTGCATAAATTTCTCAGTAGTTTTCAAAAGCGGCGTGAAAAACAAAATAAAAATTAAGGAAAATCGGAAATTTTTACAATAAAATCTGTTTTCGAAAAAATTGTTGTTGGTTTTTGGTGCAACTCTTAAACAAATGACCGTAGGTACATGAAATTTTGATCGAATGTTTATATTAGCATTTTCTATACACGATAACATTTTCAAAATGTTTTGATTAATTTTGAACTGTCTAGGCACATTTCCATTTTCCATTTTTCATTAGAATTTTTTCTAAAAATATCAATAAAATTTTATTTGTTGGTTGCGAGAGCTTGAAAATTTAATAGATGGCTCATAGTATATTTTTTCAAAGCAGATGAAAAATATTAAAAATCCTTAGTCACAGTTTTAGATTCTGAGTGAAACGATGAATGTATTGATTTTACAATGATGTGTGTTTTTTTTTTTTTTTTGTGTCTGTCATCACGTGTTAGGACAGTAAAAGTGCTTGGATTTTCTTCAACAGTAGCTTTTCTGATAAGAAAGTTAATCTAGTTGGTACTTTGGGGGGGTCAAAGGTAACAACATAAAAATTAAGGAAAAACGGGAATTTTTACGCAAAATTGATTTTCCAAAAAATCGATTTTGGTTTTTGGTGTAACTCTAAAACAAATGAACGTATATACATGAAATTTTCACTGGTTGCTTATATTTGCATTTTCTATACAAGATAACATTTTCAAAATATTTTGATTTATTTTGAACTGTTTAGGGACATTTTCATTTTCCATTTTCCATTTAAAAATCCTTAGTCACAATTTTTTTTTATAAGCATTTAAAGTTCAAAAATTGACAAAATATGGAAAAATCACGAAAATTAGCAAATTCTTTTGAGTTAAGAATTCTTAAAAATTTTAAAATGTAATACAAGAATCCTTATAAGATTATCTACCTTTATCAAAAAAAAAAATGTCTATAAGAAAGTCAAATTAAATTTTTATGAGCAATTGAAATTCAAATTTTTACAACATTGGATATTCACTCGATTTCTCATGCAGCGATTTCCTTATTTTGTTGTAATTCAAAAACGAATAACTGTAGAAACATGAAAATTTCACTGAATGTTTATATTAGCATTTCCTATACACCATACAATTTTGAAAATATTTTGACACTTTTTGAGCTGTTATAGCTTTCAATTTTTATTAGTTTTTTTTTCTATAAATATCAATAAAGTTTTATCTGTTGGGCCAAAAAGTGTAAAAATTTAATACAAGGCTCCTGATATATTGTTACAATATCAGTTGGAAAATATTAAGAATATATAGGCACAGTTTTTTTTTATAAGCATTTAAAGATCGAATATTGACAAAATTTATCAAAATCTCGAAAATTATCAATCATTGTAATTAATAAATTATAAAATGTTCAGTTGTTATAGCTAATGATTGCAAATTTAAAACAAAGATTCTCATGAGTAGTTCATACTGTAACCAAAAAATCTAAAAAATATATGAACACAGTTATTTTTTACAGACATTTTAAATTTTACATTTTACATTTTAAAAAACCTAGAATAACTATTTTAGTTATTTTGTTGTGATTGAATAATATTATTCGTGGGTACTTGAAACTTCTAAAGTGTACTATTATATATCTATGATAGTATCACGGTTTTTGTTGATGTATAATGCGTTATAAGTACCTAATGGATATTGTGATATGATTAATTTGGAATTTATTATAGGTACCTATTATAGGTCGAATTTTGGTTTTGTACCATAAATATGTATATAATATGTCCTAATATAGGAAAATGAATCTAGTTGGTATTTTGGGGGGTAAAAAGTAAACATTTCCCTGTAGTAGTCAAAAGCGCCGTGAAAAACAACAGAAAAATTTAAAAAAAACGGGAATTTTTACGCAAAATCTGTTTTCGAGAAAATTGATTTTGGTTTTTGGTGCAACTCTTAAACAAATGACCGTAGGTACATGAAATTTTAATCGAATGTTTATATTAGCATTTTCTATACACGATAACATTTTCAAAAGTAGTCGAAATAATGCTTCGACTTTCGACGTCAGTATCGTGTTCGATTGGAAAGTGAATATCGTTGGTGCATTGGGGAGGTCAAAATTTAAAATTCCCAGTACTTTTCAAAAGCGCCAAGCAAAACTAAAGAAAAATTAAGGAAAAACGGGAATTTTTACGCAAAATCGATTTTTCAGAAGAAATTAGTTTTTGGTGTAACTTTAAAACAAATGACCGTAGATACATTAAATTTTCACTGGTTGTTTATATTTGCATTTTCTATACACGATAACATTTTCAAAATATTTTGATATATTTTGAACTGTTTAGGGACATTTTCATTTTTTTATTTTTTTATTTTTGTGTCTGTGTACACGATAAGTAGTCGAAATAATGCTTCGACTTTCGACTTTACTATCTTGTTCGATTGGAAAGTGAATATCGTTGGTGCGTTGGGGAGGTAAAAATTTAAAAATCCCAGTACTTTTCAAAAGCGCCAAGAAAAACTAAAGAAAAATTAAGGAAAAACGGGAATTTTTACGCAAAATCGATTTTTCAGAAAATTGAAATTGGTTTTTGGTGTAACTTTAAAACAAATGACCGTAGATACATTAAATTTTCACTGGTTGTTTATATTTGCATTTTCTATACACGATAACATTTTCAAAATATTTTGATTTATTTTGAACTGTTTAGGGACATTTTCATTTTCCATTTTTTTTTAGTTTTTTTCCTAAAATATCAATACAATTTTATTTGTTGGTTAAAAAAGCTTGAAAATTGAATATACAAGGCGTCTACTATATTTTTACAATGGCATTTGAAAATATTAAAAATCCTTAGTCACAGTTTTTTTTTTTTATAAGCATTTAAAGTTCAAAAATTGACAAAATATGGAAAAATCACGAAAATTAGCAAATTATTTTGTTAAGAATTCGAAAAAATTTTTTTTTTAAATCTAAGGTTTTAAAATGTAATACAAGATTCCTTATAAGATTATCTACCGTCATCAAAAAATAGGCTAAAAGAAAGTCAAATTAAATTTTTATGAGCGTTTGAAATTCAAATTTTTACAACATTGGATATTCACTCGATTTCTCATGTAGCAGTTTTGTTATTTTATTGTTATTCAAAAACATATTACTGTAGATACATGAACATTTTACTGAATGTTTGTATCCTTATTTACTATACATCAAAAAAATTTTAAAATACTTTGACTCTTTTTGAGCTGTTTACGGACATTGTCAGTTTTCAATTTTCTTAGTTTTTTATTCTATAAATATCAATACAATTTTATTTGTTGGGTAAAAAAGCGTGAACATTTAATGCAAGGGTTCTAAGCATTTAAAGTTTAATCAAACTGATTTTTATTGACGTAAACTTAATATTCAATCAAATCCGAGTTGCGTCCATTTATAAATAATTAAATAATAAATATAATTATCGGTGATGACAAATGTTTTTTTTGCTAAGCTACAGTAGGTTTAAAGATTTATAACGGGAAACATCATCAAATACAATTGTGCATAGTATAAAACAGACAGGCTCGGTTATAAGAAACATTTGTACGATATACCTACACTTTTTTTTTTAATTAAATTAACTAAAACAACTAATTATATTGTAATATTTGTTTATAAGAGTGAATTGATTACAATAATTACAACGTTCACTCACAAACTCGCTCGACTCACGATTTATGACTGCCGAACGATGGACGTATTATTATTATTTTGGACATCATAATATAATTATCTAATATAAATTAATTTTTAATAGCTATCATATCATTATAATGGTTGTCGAGTGTCAATAGTTCGTGGATGATTTATATATTTTATTACGATTTTCAGTGAAGCATTTTTCTTCAGTTTTGAAGTTCAATTAACAGATATTAGTTAAGAAAACAATTTATAGTTATAAGATGACTTTAAGACAACTGATAACCTAACATGATTTTTTTCACCAAAATATACGTGAGAAGTTCATCTAGGTTTTGTGGTGCCAGATTTTCGATATCTTTTTTTGTCTATTTTATATAATTTTTTAAAAATTTTGAATATTTTGAAAATTTCACATGCAAATATAATAGGTTTGAAAAAAAAATTCGAAAATCTATCAAAACAAAACCTAGAGAAACTTCTCACATTTATTTTGGTGAAAAAGTCATGTTTCTACGACTAACGAGAGCTGAGGAAAACTTGA